GGTAGACAAATTGAGAGGATAGAAAACTTTAAAGTGGTGTTTTCTAAAGCAGATCTGAAAACTCTTTTAAAAAGAATAGTTTTTTATTGATTTCAGAGAGAAAAGGAGAGGGAGAGAGAGACAGAAACATCAATGATGAGAGAATCATTGATCAGCTGCCTCCTGCATGTGCCCTACTGGGGCATGTTCCCTGACCGGGAATTGAACTGTGACCTACTGGTTCATAGGTCAATGCTTAACCACTGAGCCACACCAGGCAGGCTGAAAAATTTTTAGAGCGAGTCTCATCAAGCTACTTTAGGGGTGCCACTTTAGGCAGTATGACACTGAAGGCCCGCTAAATGGTAGGCTTGCCCACCTTTTAAAAATATGGGCTGAGGAAGTAACCATGAGATGATGCGGGGAAAGCAATACGAATCTAGGGAGAGAAGCCACACGTGCTGATTGTGAAGCAGGGGCAAAACTCAGATTGGTCTTTCAGAGGAACAGAAAAGAAGTCAGTTATGATTGGGGCAGAGTGAGCAGAACTACGCCTCTTTGGATAAACGCAAACTTTTTGCGGAGAAATGGGAAATCATAGGAACGGCTGTATAGTGAGTGAAAGGTGTGATCTGATTCAGTTTTTTAAATGCCCACTCTGGCTGCAGTAGCAAAGAGATTGCATATGACAAGAGTAGAAGCAGGGAGACTGCTCAGGAAGCTAATGTAGAAATCCAGCAGAGAAATGACCGTAATTGGGAGGCAAGAATTAGCAGTGGAAATGCATGAATTTGGGAGATATTCTAGAGAGAAAATGAACAGAACTTGCATTGGATGCATTGGATTTGAGGGTGAAGAAAGAGAAACCGGGGCCAAATAGATTTTTTTTTTCTTTTTGGGTTAAGAAACTGGATGCCATTTTCTGTAAGCACCTAGCTAAAAGACTGAGGAGGAAACAAGAATAGGAGGAAAATCAAGATTTCTGTCTCCAAATACATTACATTTGAGATGCCTATGGTATATCCAAATGGAGGTGTCCAATAGGCAGTTGAATATATAAGTGTAGGGCTCAGAAGCGAGAGTACAGCAAGAACATATATTTAAGAGGCAGCAGCATAAACATGCTATTTAAAGCCATAATTATAGATATGACCACCTAAGGGGGGAAAGTGAAAATAAAAAGGAAAAGGGTCAGGATCCAGCCCTTTAAGAGTTCAGGAGAACAGGGAGGGCTCAGTAAATGAGAAGCAGCAACCAGTCAGGTCAGTGATAAATTGGGAGATTGTGATGTCATAGAGGCCAAGAGAAAGAGGTCTATAGTCAATTGTATTAAATGCTGCCAAGAGGTCAAGTAAGATAATAACAACACTGTTAATAATAACGGCTGACATCTGCTGAGCACTTACCATGTACTACAGTCTGTTCTAAATGCTTTACAGGTATTAATGCATTTAATCTTAACAACCCTTACAATAGAGAAGGAACCATTGGATTTGGTAACACAGAAGCTGAATGAAGAGAACTTTCATTCAACAATAATTGCTAAGTCCTTACTTGTTCCAGGCACCACTTTAGGCACTGAGGATGAAACAGCAGAAAACATAAAAGTCCTGCCCTCACTTGTATGCATGTATATGAGCCTAACCAATAGACACAGACAACAGGGGGGTGAGGGCATAAGTGGGGGGGGGGGAGGGGTTGGGGGTCAATGGGGAGATAAGGACAACATATGTAATACCTTAATCAATAAAAAAAGGAAAAACAAAAAACAAAAAAGTCCTGCCCTCTGACAAGGTTAAACAAAATACATTTTGTAAGTGGAACAAATAGATAAGTGCTTTAAAG